TAATTTCTTTCGGTTTTCCTGGTTTGCTTTTGCAGTGATTCCTGAGTTCTTCTACTCAAATTATTGACCAGATGAGATCACCTAGGGTTCAAGGTCCTCTTCGAAGCTCAGTCGTTATTGGAATAGCAGAATTCATTTCCTTGTTAGCTTTCCACCGGCCTCCTCCATCTTCTTGAAGCCAGCAATTGTGCATGTAGTTCTTCACAAACTTCAAATTCCTCTCATGAGTCACTTTTGTCTCGCCACTTTCAAGATTGTCTCTTTTGAGAATAATAAAGTATCTAAGAATAAATCTAACAAAGGATGTGCATAGCCTATATGCTAAGAATTATAAACGTTTACTTAAAGTCATTAAAGAAAACCTGGACAAATGATGAGAAAGTGCAGTACAGTAAAGATGCCAACCATTTCTAAATAGACCTGCTGACTCAATGCATCTCTAATCAAATGCCAGCTAGAGGTTTCAGTGACACTTGACAAACTAATTCTACAATTTATACGTAGGTGTAGAAAGCCAAGAATAGTTAAGACATTCACTATGCTACCAGATATTTGGGTTTATTATGAAGCAGGGATAATTTAGACACTTTGCTATATGAGTGAGAAGACAAAACAGATACAGTGGGGAAAATTGGGGGGAGCTATTCAATAATAAATGGAGTTTGGCAAACTGGTTATTTATATGTAACTGAGAAGTAGATCTTCAGTTCATAAAAATATACCTCCAAAGGGTTAAGAATTAAATGTCAAAAGTGTTCATCTAAATGTCAAAATGTAAAAAAGTTCTGGTTGGGCACAGTGGCTTATGCCTGTAATCCCAGAACTTTGGGAGGCCGAGGTGGACCAATCACTTGAGGCCAGGAGTTCAAGACCAGCCTGGCCGATATGGCAAAACCCCATCTCTACTAGAAATACAAAAATTAGCTGGGTATGGTGGCACATAGCTGTAATCCCAGCTACTTAGGAGGCTAAGACACGAGAATTGCTTGAACCTGAGAGGCAGAGGTTGCAGTGAGCCAAGATCATGCCACTGCACTCCAGCCTGGGCAACAGAGCACGAGACCCTGTCTTAAAAAAAAAAAAAAAAAAAAAAAGTCAAAGAGTTCTGCCTTTTTAAGCCAAATAATGAAAATGTAGTTTGTAATTATAACATATGTAGAAGTGAAGTGGCATGACAGCAGACAGCAGTATCACAGAGGCCAGGAGTGGGGATATGAAAGTATACCATTAAAAGATTTTTACACATTATGCAAAGTGATATCATAATAGTTGAAGACAGACTACGATAAGTAAAGCCATGTACCGTATGTTATATACTGTATGTTATATGCCCTAGAGCAACCACCAAAAAAAAACCAAAACATAAAACTCATGCACATACACATGCAAATCCCAAAACAGTGAAAAGAACTATAGCTAAAAAGCTAACAAATGGACAAAATGGAATGATAGAAAAATAATAAATTCATTCAAAAGAAGGCAGAAAAACAGATACATAGGATGGTAGATTTAAACCCTAATATATCAATAATCATTAAATATAAGTCTAAATTAAAAAGCATAGATTATCAGATCAGATTTAAAAACAACCAGCTGTACATTGCTTATAAGAAACCCAGCTTACATGTAATAATATAGTAGCTTAAAAGTAAAAGGACTGCCAGGTGCGGTGGTTCATGCCTTAATTCCAGCACTTTGGGAGGCCAATGCAGGTGGATCACCTGAGGCCAGTCCTGGCTAATTTTTGTATTTTTAGTAGAGATGAGGTTTCGCCATTTTGGCCAGACTGGTCTCGAACTCCTGACCTCAAGTGATCCATCCGCCTCGGCCTCCCAAAGTGCTGGGATTACAGGCATGAGCCACCGTGTCTGGCCTAATTTTTGTATTTTTAGTAGAGATGGGGTTTCACCATGTTGGCTACGCTGGTTTCAAACTCCTGGCCTCAAGTGATCTGCCCGCCTTGGCCTCCCAAAGTGCTGAGATTACAGGCATAAGCCGTCGTGCCCGGCAGACATAAGACTTTAAAATAAATGTCTTAAAAAATGCTCAAGGAGAATATAGACAACTAAAAATCAGGAAAACTATATATAAAGAAAATGAGGCCGAGCGCAGTGGCTCAAGCCTGTAATCCCAGCACTTTGGGAGGCCGAGACGGG